TTTATTTCTGTGATGCGCAGCTGTATTTTCAGCATCATTACTCCAGTCTTCAGTGTCACATGATCTTCAGAAATCATTCTAATATGCTGATTTATTATCAGTGCTGGAATCAGTTGTGCTGCTTAATATTTTTTTGGAACCTTTGATACTTTTTTCAGGATTCTTTGATGAGTAAAAAGTTTTAAAAAAGAACAGCATTTATTCAAAATAGAAATCTTTTGTAACAATATACACTGTTAAAAAATTTTGGGGTCAGTATTTTTTTTTTTTTTTTTTTTGAAAGAAATTAATGCTTTTATTCAGCAAGGATGTGTTAAATTGATAAAAAGTGATGATAAAGAATTGTATTGTCAGAAAAGATTTATATTTTGAATAAATGCTGTTCTTTTTTAAAACTTTTTACTCATCAAAGAATCCTGAAAAAAGTATCAGAAGTTCCAAAATATATATATTAAGCATGTAGTTAATTGTTTCCAGCATTGATAATAAATCAGCATATTAGAATGATTTCTGAAGATCATGTGACACTGAAGACTGGAGTAATGATGCTGAAAATACAGCTTTGCATTATTATTATTATTCACTGTGTCTTGTATTTTGTGCACTGGAAGCTTCAAGACAAATTCATAATAACTGGAAATGTTACGGAAAACATGTGGAAATGAATCTGAATGTTGTAATCTGCAGAGAGAGCGCTCTACAGAATGCAGATGATGAAGGACAAGCGAGTGCAAAGCAAGTCAGACGCAAACGTCCAGCTGTGACGGATGAAGCGACAGAAGAGGAGCGGCCCGTCAGACACAGAAAGACCGTGAAGAACATGGCAGAGGAGCGAATCAAAACTAAACGGACGGTGTTTCTGTTTTTACTGTATTTCTGATCAAATAAATGCAGCCTTGATGAGCAGAAGAGACTTCTTTAAAACACATTAAAAATCTCACTGACCCCAAACTTTTGAACAGCACTGTATACAATATTCCTTTTTGCATTATTATTATTATTCACTGTGTCTTGTATTTTGTGCACTGGAAGCTTCAAGACAAATTCATAATAACTGGAAATGTTACGGAAAACATGTGGAAATGAATCTGAATGTTGTAATCCGCAGAGAGAGCGCTCTACAGAATGCAGATGATGAAGGACAAGCGAGTGCAAAGCAAGTCAGACGCAAACTTCCAGCTGTGACGGATTTCTAGGAATTTCTAGGAGGAAAGTTCACCCCAAAAAACCGACAGAAGAGGAGCGGCCCGTCAGACACAGAAAGACCGTGAAGAACATGGCAGAGGAGCGAATCAAAACTAAACGGACGGTGTTTGTGGGGAACCTGCCTCCCAGCTGCACCAAGAAGGTGCTTCAGTTACTGTACACAACTCAAATCAGGATCCTTCTCTGATGTTTCCTCTAAAACCCTGTGTGTAAACACGTAAAGTGGCAGCCATCCAGTGAGTAAAGCGTCCCGTAGTGATAGGATTGATTGTTATCCACATGTTGATCTTGTCTGTTCATTTCTAGGAGAAAAGTTCACCCCAAAAAAACGAGTATTAATGCATACATCGTCTTCAAAGAGGAAGAAGCAGCGGCTGGCGCTCTGAGAAGG